GTACATATCAAATCAGAAAGGCAGTATTTGTGGTTCCATTTTATTTCCCGTTTCTGTGAGAGACTTGAAGTATTTATTGAATGTGCAGGTGAATGAAAATGAAAGCAACAAGCATCATGTTAGAGAGCAGGATGCCTCTCTGAATAAGGGTCAAAATGTTAACATGGTTGCAGAAGAAAACAAATATCTTGCTGAGATGGAATAACAACCTCTGAAATGCAGGCAGGTGTCCTTTCACTGTCCTGAACCTTGCTGAAGATCCAGCACTGCACAGTGGGGAAGATGAGATCCATTTGAAGAAAATCAGGAAGAGATCCACAAGTGCATGAACACAGGTGTGGAAAATCCTGAGATGCAAATACTAGGAAAGCCCTAGGCTGAAAAGCTGTTAGTCCAGTAAAAAGGAGACGAAAGGTGACATGATAACAGCCTGCAAATATGTAAAGCCTGCTGCAAATTACAAGGGACTGGTAATGTGTTTTCTCTGTGGTGTGTAGGATGAAATGAAAAGTGTTTGCGTGTTTTATTAGATTAACAAACTAATCTGATAAGCATGGACAGGTGTGTAAAGCTTTAATAAGCTTGAAACAAAAGCTGTGAATAAGACCATCTTTGCTCCAACACTACTTATAAGGATCACATTTGAGCACAGCAGCAGCTTGGCCAGATTTCAGGATTGCTGTTATCCTTGGGCATTTTTGAGAAGATTTTAGGTAGAAATGATTCAACATTAACTGATTTGAGTTAGACCAACTTTACTAACTATATAGGTCCCAGAGCTGTAGGTATTTTCTAAAGACTTTGGCCCAAACTCTCAAAAGGTACATTGAGAGGAACACCTGTTTAGATGCCCGGGTCAAACAGTTCAGCAACATTTAAGAAGTTGTTCAGCTGCCACCTAAACCTGCAATCACTTACTCACTTACTGGGAGTGTGCTCCCCATTCAGCTGTAAGCTCTCACATCAGGTGGCTTTGCTGCCAAATCCCTCCCTCATGAACACTGAATGTATAAACTGGAGCAAATACCCCACAAAATTGTATTTGGACTGTCACTCCAGATTGCCTGAGGACTTAAGGATTTCAGGTGGGATGTGACAGACATTGTTGCTTTAGATCTCTTTTTGCCAACTAGAGATGTGAACATTACTTTGTCTTGGCATCCTAGATGGAAACCTTTAATGGGTGAATGGTTTGGGTTGGAAGGGCCCTTAGAGATCACCTCATTCCAACCCCTCTGCCATGGGCAGGAACACCTGCTGCCAGACCAGGTTGCTCCAAGCCCCATCCTGCCTGGCCTTGAATACTCCCAGGGATGGGACACCTATAACTTCTTTCTCTCTGCCCAGCAAATAATCAAGCTGATACCAAAACTAGAGGTTTCTTCACATCATTTCAGCTATTTGAGTAAACATTATACACAGAAATACGATGTCATAAAACCTGTGGAAAGATTTAAAGACACATTTAAATGAAATGATCTCAACTCGAATCTTTCCAGCCAATAAAGAGGTGGAGGTTATGCAGGGGGATGTAGATTTAAAAAGAAATTAAAGGAGCATTGCAGTATGGTTATGCTCATTTATGCCTGTGAGAGCATGGCCTGAAGTCTGCCAGGCTCTTGGTAAAAAAACTGTGGCACTCATTGAACTCTTGGGTACAGAATGGCACCCAAGAGCGTACAAGATTACAGGTACAGGGTCAAGAATTTTTTTTTATTTTAAAGAATTTTTCCGGTTTTCTAGAGCTCACGGGGAATTAATTTAACTGCTTAGCAGTTTTATACTGCCTGATGCAATTAAGAAGCTTTTTTCCCCCCTCATTTATTCCCCGTCTTTTTAGGAGATTAAGATCCAGATAATCTGTCCTGTCATTTGCACTTAAATAAAATAAAAATATCATTACGGTATTCACTATCAGCACAAGAAAAGCACTTGCTCAGGATCTCACTTGCTAGTATGTCATTTAAATCTTCAACTAATAAGCCTCACAAATTTTGTTTAGCTCTGTTTACTAAAATGAAGATATACAAAAGTAAAATTCATCCTGGGTTACAAAAACATACTGGAATACAATGCAGTTGTAAGTAAACTCTGCACTGAAAGTTGTACTTATCCTTTATACATAGTTTCTAAATCATTATAACATGCTTTATAAAAGCCAACTCAAGCAATAGAACAATGACCCAGTAAGATTTTAGCAGCAGAATATCAGCAGATTCCGCCAGTTCTTGAAGACTGGATGCTTTTGCTATTGCAAGAGCAATTTGTGTTGGTGACATTTTATCATATATCAGCTTGTTTCTTACAGCCAAACAAGTAAGGCCTGTGTTAAAACAGACAATAAGAATTTTGCAAGAAGAAAGCTCTTGTATTTGACCCTGGATATATCAATATATGGAAATGGATTAGGAGTCTGCTTTTGCAGTTGCTTTCTATGTGTAATGACAGCAGTTATGCTCTGGAACTTCTGTACTGTTCATCAAAACTTACCTGCTCTTTATCTTTTAACAACATTTCATTTTGTGCTGCAATTACAGTATTATAGTGGCACATGTAAATTCTCAGCAGATATTTAAATGCATATTTTCATGTTTTGTTCTTAAGTGTTCTTGTTCTGTTGCTTACTCTGGTCATTAGCTGTATCCCCAAATTTCCATTAGAAACACCCAATTTTTCCACTCGGTTAGCTAAAGAAACCTCTAGATATTATTTCTCTTGTAGTAACATATATACAATATATGTTATTTTTCTTGAAGTAACATATAAAATATAGTCCTTGCAATTATCTGAAAAATTCTCCAGAAGAATTTAAATGCCTAGTAATGAAAGCTACTGCAACAGAAACTGAAGAAAATAAAGCAGAGGAGTTGCTTATTTCACTATGAAGCATGTGGAGAGAAAAAAAACCCCAACATATATAAACATATAAACAAAACAAACAAACCAACATATATAAACATGTCCAGAAGAGTTAAAAAAAAACCCAGCCCTTGAATGCCTGAGTCCCTGCAATCAGCATGAGTCTGTCACCAAATTATTTTGGAAATCTTATCTTAAATCTTATTCACAGAAAAGTTGTTTCTAATGTATGGAATCAAGTAAGATATTGCTCAGTTGTCTAAATAGTACCCTCCACTTGAATTTTGGTAACAGTTTTTGATTCAGTTTTGTTCCCAGCAGCTGAAGCCCTCACTTGTAATCACTGAATACATCAGCAATGGGTGCTTCTGACTTTACTCTCCTGTTTGAAATCCAGAGTGACATTATTGCTGGCCCTAAGGGACATTGCTGCTGTGTGCTGTCCCTGGCAGATCTGTCAGCTGCAGAGAAATGATCCTCAGACAACTGGACAAACCAGATATTCACACTGACAGAGCATGTGACTGGACTTAAGGTCAGAGATTCAGAGACTGCAGGATTGGGACCTTTAAAGATCCCTGCAGAGGATTGCCCTGTGTGCTGTGTGGCACTGGCATTAAGGGAGATACCTGCAAAGTTAAAGGGTTATTTCATTCTTTATGGAACCAGGCCTTGACAATCCTGTAAGCACAGGCTGATAGGGGTTCACCAGATTACTGTCTTTTCATTCCCTGCTTCAGAAAAGAGTTCCTTAACTTGCTGATTATATGACTAGAAAAATCCCAAAAAACCTATTTTACATAGAATGAAGAATTTTAAGATGAGCTTCAGCATCTGATACTCTCTGCTATTTTGTCACCGTACTTTGACTGAGATTAAAATAGATTTTAAAAGTTCCAGATTGTCTTTGTCACCACTGCTATGCACAGTTCTCTAAAATCAGTACTGAAAAATAATTCAGACTCTAAATGCTCTTTATGTTCAAGTTTATACTCCCCAAGAATTAAATCCACCTTCTCAAAAAGGAACAAAAATAATGACAGTTCCACCCAAACTGTCTCCTGGAAATACAGAAGGTTCTTCTGGTTTGGTGATCCTTTTCTTTACCGGGTTGAAGCACACCTCTAATTCTTACAGCTGATAAATGTTGCTTCCTGATTTTATTTTATCATATACTTTATTTTATCATATACTAGGTTACTTTTTTGTATTTGTAGCAAAAAGTTTTTGTTTGTTTTTTTTTTTTAATTTTTTTTTTATTTTAACCTGCAGCTTTACATTAAGTATGTTATAATTGCAAAGTATTTAAAACATATTTGTGGTAGAACTTGACAAGACAATATTGAAAACTTTGTTTTGGTCAGTTTTAAATGGATTTTATGTATCTTAAAAATGTATTTCTAAAAGTGAATGTCTTGAAAAAGGATCTCAAAGGAGGCCATCTGTTTAGACACCAGATACAAGAAAAATAAGTTTTCCAAGAGTTGAGCATCTAGCATAAAATTTACATGAACTCCACTCAGATGGAGTAGCTTCTGATGGCTTCTTGGCAGTGGTGCTCTGAAGAACCAAGAATTGTAACCAAATGTTATTGGCAGAAACCTTCAATAAAAGTGGATGCCAAGTATTTGCCAAAATGAAAATTTAAAATATACACATACCAATATTAGCACTGGACATGCTTCACACCCAAGGAGGCTCAGCACAGCAAGTGCTTTTCTGCATCAATCAGCACAGACACTTCTTCAAGATCTGACATAACTCCTTTAAAGGAATCAGATCTCTGATCAGAAGGCAGATGTTGTGGTAACAATAACACTGTGCTGTGCTGCATGAAGTTCAAGTGTGTGCAGCTTTCTATAACCCTAAAAGTCTCCCAAGAACTATTCAGAACAATAGCAGGATATCCTCCACTTCTGAGCAAAGTAGGAGAAACTTGCTCATTGGGAGTGGTATTTTTTTCTAACATCCCTATCATGATTTCTTCCAAGCATTCACTTGCACTTGAAAATTGATAATTGATGTCTCACTGTGTATCTGCTTGATAACTACATCATCTAAGTCACTCTCATTGCATCAGATCTGCCAGACCTAACAGATAAATTCCTTCTAATTAAGAAAAGATTGGCTAATAAAAACAATTAATTGCTAAATGTATGACACTTTCCATACTCTCCCTTTAGCCTCTTTGCATCTTCTCCTTTAAAACATTTCTTCCTTTTCTCAGATTTTGCAGCTTGCTCCTTCCTTTCTTGATTTTCCTGCATTCAGACAGAATGACAAATAAAACAATAAATAAGAGTTTCTGAAGGAAAAGCTTGTTAAGAAGCTCTCAGTTTGCAATGAATAGGTATTCTGAACATGCCCTGTGTGCACTTGAAACTCTCAGCTGCTGGGGTTTGAGGGTAAATAGCAGAACAGAGCTTCCTGGTCAATCCCTTTGGCCTTATCCATGTGATGATGTTACCAGCAAACTATTTCATCAGCTTTAACTGCAACTTTCAACTATGGACTGAAATGCATTCTTCTTAATTAGTCCCTTTGTCCACAATAGAGAACATTAGTTTAACTTAATTAGCATTCTAGAGATTTATCCCATAGCAACCTTGTTTGTATTCAGGGATTTCTACCAGAATTTTCAGGAGCTGCTCAGCTGTGTTAAACAGCAATTCACAGTTTCTCTTCAGGCTCTCATTAAATTTGCCAGTAGTATTTCTGCACTACAGTTCAGAGCCAGAGTCCAGGCTGGATGTTTATTGGTACCACTCACACAATTGCCAGAATGGCATAAATCCTGCTGGGATTTATGTAGATAGGCAGGATTCTGGTCTCCACAGAGCTGCTGGTACCAGAATAGTACAATTAATCGAGGAAATAAGGATCAGAATGATTACTGCTAGCAAAAGAAGACAATTATTCAGTGGAAGAGTATTCCTGGCTTTTGATAACTAACACAACAGTGGGAGAAGGTAGTTCTGAATATCTGAGATAACTGTAGTATAACAAAGATGATAAAAGCCATTTTCTTAAATGCTCCTGCAGTTCTTGTTCCAGAGCTGCATTTGTCACCAGAACATTGCCATCCCACCTGGAAGCTTGCCTGCTTTTGATTGCAACCAGTGAGTAGTTAATCCACACATTTCAAGTAGATCAGTACTTAACAGGCTGCTGTGTCATATCACACAACCTAATAACATTCAGGAAGATGCTGACGATTTGGTGCAGACAAGATTTTTGATGAGACATGTGTGGTCTGCTTTGCAGAGAGTTTGAAGCAGAAAATACAATTTCCTATGATAGTGATAAATCTGTTTGATTGCTATGGATCATCTGCCACTATTTCCATAAGATGAGCTGAACAAGTCCAAGAAAATGTGCACAAGTTTATAGAACTAGCCTTTATAGAAATCAAAAATCTAGGATTCTTTGGTCCAAAGGAACTTTCAAACAAATAAAGAAAACTTGTGAGCAGTAACAGAGTTAATCTGTTTGAAATATAGGAGCACTAGGTTGCTCAAGGTTGTGGAAACTGTCAGTGGGTGCCTTGAAAAGAAAAAAAATGTGTGTACTCTTGACAGAGAAAGAAAATGATCCATTTGCCCCAAATAGATGGTGCTTCTGAAAAAATGGGATACAGGTGAAGTTTTATGGAGAGGCTAGAAGCCTTCCATCAGTATAGGGCTCCTATGTGCTTTCCTGATAAATTCCTGCTGTCTTAGCATAACATCTTTGGGATACTATGGCTGAGAGATTTGCAGATTTGTGGGCCCTGGGAGAATCTCTATGTAATATGCCATAAGAAATAAAGGAGGTGAATTCAGGAATATGTTGTTCTGCTAATTGAACAGCACACACAGCAGTGAGAGCAAGCTAAAACACATTAGGAATAAATTTATCAATTGAGCAAGCCTGAACCAAATTTTTCTTCAGAAAAATTGTAAAAAAAAAAACAAACCCAAACAACACAACAATTCAATGTAAACACACTTAAAGTTTCTTCAACACAAGAAAGTCCAAAAAGGTACAGTGGTAGTAGGGCAGAGAAATGAATACTCACAATCCCTTCTCCACCTTCCTGGATTAGTGAAGGCAGCTACAGGGATGAGATTCAGTGAAAGAGGGAGTCACTTTGGATTTGCACTTTGTGGGATGTTAGATACTTGCTTGATTTTTGAATGTAAAGATGCTCCAGGACAACTGTTTATCCCCATACTATCTAAAGCACATCCTGTTCCAACACCATATGCACCCTCCTGAAGAGCATCTGCTCCAGCATGGTTATCCTAGGGGAGGACACAGAGGAGCTATCCCTGTGCAGAGCTGTCTGTATAACCTCTGTCATCAACTGAATACTTCCTAGAGCAGATTTTGTGAAACATTTTTTTTCCTCCTTTTCCTGAGATTACACCGTCTCTTTGCTGGGAGGTGCCTTCTATGAACAGCTGCAAATGCTAAGGGAAATCAAATGTTTCCCACAATTCCCTATAATCACACAGTGATTCTTTCCCCCACAATTTTACCACTCAGTTCTCAGCAAAACTCCATTTCTGATTTTTTTGTCTTTGAGCTGAGGAGCTATTTTCTCCCTGTCTCCTTCCTCCTGCCATCTGCTTCTTTTATTTTTTGAGAACTGGTGAAAGAGTCATCAGCTCTGGGTGACAAAACAGCTCCCTTGCTTCCTTTCACTGTCAGTTTTGGATATCATTTGGGTATTTGGAAAGGCTTTGTTGATTTGGGTTTTTTTCCTCCAGGTAGATGGAGAGAAAGATGGCAGAGTCTTATTAAATTAATTCCATTTTTGTAACTCAATTTTTTTGTTACCTGAAGGACAAGACATCAGAAAGAACCCTCAGGGAAGGGAGAAAGATTTTGTTTGAGCAAAGTAACAAACCCCAAATCTCTGTAGATAAGCTTAGGAGAAATGAAGAATCACTATTTATCGAAACTATTTCCCTTTTTATTTGATGTGGGAATGGAAAGATAGCACTAACAATTTTGGCAGTGCTAAGAGACCTGCATTGCACAGAAGACTCATCTCAAAATAAAAGTTACACCTTAGCATTAAAGCTTAAAATAAATGGCACTGGGAAGTGATGATGCCTATGGCTGATTCTAGTGTAAAAATCAAAATCACAGAATAAAAAGATGCTTTAGAAATTAAAACCTTCAGCTTTTCAGCATGTTGCTGTTTCAAGTACAAATAATATCTTTACTGTGGTGAAGTAGTAAGAAAGCAAGGCAAGAGGAAGAGGAGATTAATTCTAGGTCTGCAGTGGAAAAGAGGTGCAGACAACATGGCTATTATTAGCTATGGTACCTTTGAGGTGAGGTGCTGCTGAGAAATTGAACTCAAAACGAGATGAAAGGGAGTTTACATTTTGGGATATAAAAAGAAGCTTCTTTCTAGTTGCTCTGACCTGGCTGTGAGCAAGAAGCACCCATAAATGTAGTTTGAATCTCCTGCAGCTGTACTAGGACACTCCATAACCTTTACTGGGATTGTTTCTTGAAAGAACTGCCATTGCTGAAATTACCTTTCACAGTAAATTTCCAGTATAGCTCTCCACAGGTGCTGACCCATTATGTTCTTGACTCTCTTAGTTCTTTCCTTGGTGCCTAAAGTTTTAGGAACTGTAAGGATCAAGCATATTGCCAAAACATCTGTGGTTTATAGGGTTAATTTTCCAGACTATCTGTGGCAGTATCACATTATTTCAGAGCCTGGATAGCTGCATTGCTTGGAAAATTTCAGCTCAGTGCTTTACTGGAGAAGCAGGTAGTGGGAATAGTAGAGGATATATTTTTTGTCTTTCATCTTCTAGAACTTCCTCAGAAATTTCATTGTTTTCATCTGAATCTATGATCTGCCCTGAAGACTGCCCCAGCTGCCAGTCTCTCTTGGCAGCAGAGCTGTGTGTATTCTTGCTAATGCAGATGGTTTTCTCTACAGAAGGTTTATCCAGGCTGAGGCTCTCCTGGAGTCAGCCCAGGAATGGGTGATTCTTGCTGTTAAATATGTATGAATGTGAAGCCACTATCACCTGGCATTAAGAAAACCCTAAAGTATGTTAGTCCAGGTGTGAAGTGTGTTATAAGGGAAATGAAATAGAGGTTTACTAGAGCATTTACAAATTGGAAGGTGCTCTACACAACTTTTATGGTGAAGTTGCTGTTTTCTTACTCCTTATTGCAAGGAGTGAAGTCCTACAAGTTAAGAAATAGAATCCATTTGGAGATTCAGAAGGGTTTTGTGGAACACAAAACACACTCTTTCGAGCTAACTAGTACAATGAAATACCAACACATAAACACACCTTCCAGTTAGGCTTTGCATATTGGAAAATTTACCTTTTGTCTATCAGCAAAGTCTATAAAGCATGTCAGGTTGCTCATTCTTTCACATGCCACAGAGGTCCTCTTACATTGAGGACATTATTACTGGTTAATAATTTTCAGTGGGAGAAATTACTTAAACTGTTCTCCACAGCAAACCCCTCCTCCCCCCACCCAAAAAAAAGAAAAAACAACCCAATCAATCAACAAAATGAAACCCCACAAACAAACAAAAAAAGCCCCAAATTTTATATTTGCCCACATACTCATTTTCTGCTGCAGTTTGCAAGCACATTACTTTCATTTACTTCTGCAACCAGGGTTACATAGCCCAGTTTAGAGTAGAAGGAAATAAAAGTTATTGCTTGATTAAAAAAAAAAAAATAGTTCTCAACCTATTTCTAAACAGTCACAAGGGCAAACCACCTGTAATGTCTTGAGGAAGATCTCTCTGAAGGTTTTCATTATGTTGAATACATCTTCCAAAGACAAATTTTTTCGGTCTTCACAAAGATAATCTGCAAGTTCTTCCTTCTTCTTTTCAATGGTGGCAAATTCCTTCTGCAGGTCCTTTGAAGCATTGAGGCTGCCCTGAGACACATTTTGTAACACAATTTATACATATTAAAAAGTAGCATATTCTGAGTTGCCCAGAAGACTTCAGCCACATAACAGAGAGCAGTCAGTTTTTTAAAAACTAACAACTAAGACAGGTTCACAATGTATGATATTTATTTTTTAATTGAATCATCTGCATTTTCCCTCATTTAATCACACAACCATGCGTAAATGTGGCACAGCCTGGGATGACTGAGCAAGGGACATGCAGGATTTCTGCCTTACAGCTTTAGTTAAGTGACCCATTCTGAGAATACAAAAATCTAGGATGTTAGGAAATATGATTTGGGGGGGGGGAGGGAAAAGCATATTGCAAATCTATCCACTTTTTTCCTCACAAAGCACAGAGAGACAAAGCATGTTTCTGTGCTGCACTATACACATTTATAGTTGCAGCCTACATTCCATTTTTAGGGCCTTCCTTTCTTTTTCCCACAGAAAAATCTGTCTCGTCCTCAGCTGTTTCCTTATCCCAGTACCACATTACAGAAAGGAGGAACATCTGGGATACTCCTTCCATCAGGGCACAGTGGGAGGGTATAATGACCCCTTTCCCACAGGGCTTTATAATCAGTTGTAACCTGAATTACACTGCCTTTAAGAAGAGAGTGCTTAGGAAGAAAGATGGGAAACGTGTCACACTCACATTACCTACTTGCACAGATTTTCCATGCTGTATTTTTAAATCATCTGTCGACAAAAATAAACGCTTCTCTATTTCCAGCAGTTTCTTCAAATTGGCACCTGCCTCGGCCTGCATGGCGTCAATGTGGATTCTGAAAGGTCCACAAAAGGGACAGTACATTTAAGTTAATGCAAACAAAAGACTTACCCCTTCAAAGGTTATAATAAACATTATCATCTCTGCAAATGCACATGGAATTAATTGTCCAGCCCAGACCCTGCTTTTGCAGGTAGCTCTTTTCTGTATAAATGCTTTTTCATGTGCACAAACCCTCATCTAAGAAAGACTCTATGCTTTTGCCCTCACTACCTCCCTGGATGGACTGTGGAAGAACCTCACTGTCCGAGTATTCAAAAAACTCCAGAAAAATTCCAGCCTATTTTTATTCACAGGCAACACAAGCTCATCTCCCCTGTGCCAACACCGTCCTTATGTAGCTGGTTCTTTTCCCTCCTTGCCTTTTCTCCCCAATCTATTTATAGTCCAAAACTGTATCTCCTCTCTGTGTTACTTTAGCTTGTGTGGAGATCCAAACACAACCACTGCCAAACCAACATCTTCTGATGTTCTGAGCTCTCTCTGGGCCAGACAAAATTTACTGAATCAGCAAAACCTGGCTTGGTGTTTCATGGTGCATCCAGATGTGAGCAGCATTCGGAGAGTCCTTTGCAGGATTTGCACCGTGCACAGTTCTCCACAGGCTAATTAGCAAATCAATTTTGTAAGTTTGAGAGTTTGATTAAAGTAGAGGGCAATTACATTATACAAGGAGTACAATTATATCATTGGCCAGAAAGATCTAGTTTCAGTCCGGAAAAGAATTTCTGTTATAACACAATCCAAAAACAGCATTCAGTTTATCTTCTGCAAAGGTAACTCACAGTGTTAAGCCACAGTGTTTTTCTGTTTAATTATGGAATTAAAACACTTTCAAAAAATTATTTAGCAGCTAGATAATAAATGTCAATCCATTGGCAGATTTAAAAGTTACTTCTTCTTTGAGTTACAATGAAATCTAAATCACTACAAGGTTCCTGTGAATCCTCTGAATTCATAACAGGATTAAAAATGTTAATCCTGGTGCTACAAATGTGGATTCTGATTGGTGTAACTGAGCATATCTACATGTGATTCCTTTGAGTTAAAGAGAAAGAGCTGGCAATGGGAGAAAGAAAAAACCTGATTCTGGAGACTTTTGACTTTCTACCCACATGTATTAGAAACCCATGCTGATAGTCAGCTCTGATAAGTCCCCCCCAGTTGCCAGTAAACCACCCCAATCATTCCCTTCTTACATAAGCTTTGTACCTTCAGATGGACATTCACCTAAAAATCACAGAATGTGCTGAATATTGAGGATTCCACCAGGATCCTCAAGTTGCAACTCCTGGCCCTGCACAGGGACATCCCCAAGAGTCACATTGTGTGCCCCAAAAATATTGTCCAAACACTTCTTGAACTGACTGAGAAACCTCAGGGAAGATATGTTTCTATTGCAATATGTGGAAGAGGACTCTGCTCCTTGAAAATGAGGGAAATTCACTATTTACAAAGTTTTCTTCTAAAGTTGTACTGGATCCACAGAAAGAAAAATCATACTGAGCTCCACCTAAAAGTCTTAACCAGGTTGAACTATAAAAATTTCAACACTGTTTGGTGCTGAAGGGAACCACTCTCTCCTACAGCAGAGAAATCCTGTGACCTTATTACACCATCATAAAATGACTCAGCTCCTTGCTGGCTTTAAAGAGGTTGGCAATTCATACATGACAAAAACAAACAATAATGTCCTACCCCACTGCCTTGGAAACAAAGTCAAGATCTCTGGGAAGCTGCAGGAGATCTCTATGTTTTTTTTCAACCTCCTAAAATTGAAGAGAAAAAATGGTTATCTTATAGAGGCTGTCAAAGAGCATGAAAGTTTTTCAGCTGGACAACATCAGGACTAAAAACTTAACACTTCAAGTTTCATTCTTATAAACGTAGGGATAAATTTAGTCTTGTTCATTCTTTTTCTCATGTTGGCATCCACAGGGAGTTAAAAAGAAGGAAGAGACTCATTTTAAGTGCTGAGGCTGACATCCCATGGGCTGCCACAGTGTGCAGGCTGACCTGAGATTTTTGTCTTCATACCACAAAAATAAATTTAATTTGACAGATGCATTTGAGATATGTGTCAACACAAGGGAGCAGTTGAAGAAGAGAAAGAAAACAGCAAGCAGACATGTCAAGTGAACTTGAGGAAGGAAACCTAGTGTTACCTCTCTAAATATTACTGTGCATGGATGTCATCTCATCTGCACAGAGAGCTGTGGAAAAGTTTGCATGGTATTTCCAGCACAGAGGCTTACCCTCCAGGTACCTGTAGTGGGGTATTACTGAGGTAAAAGCCTCTTAGCTTCTGGGGAATTAATATTTGAGAGTGCACACAAGATTAATTTCTTTTAAGTTTTGTTGTACCTCCAAAATATGGTGAAGCAGAGTAATGTTGTTTTGGTTTGCTTTTGTTTCTGTCAGTTTGAGCAAGGCACTAATTTTAAAACCTCCAGCATCTCCACTGTGACGCCCCTGGAAGATACATGAAAAAGTTCCTTCCTTCAGTTTTCAAGTATTGCATTATTTTCTGTTATCTTTAGAATACAACAAGTAAAGAAATCACTTTACTTACATAGTTCAGAAAGTTTCCAACTTTAAGAATCAATTGGCAAAACACTGGCAGTCGGTGACTGGTAAGAATTGCTAAAGAATACAAAGAGAGGCATTTTCAATAAATAAAATTAAATTACCTGAAATAGGATTTTCATTAGGTTTGGCAGTGATGGTAACAAAATTTTCATCCAAGATTATGTCAAGCCATTGTTATGGATTTGGAAAAATACCAGTAACAGAAATAAATCAGCTGAATGGAAGTCAAATGAATAACTTTCTATTGTGATCTTTTCTTTACAAGTAGATGGAAAACTAGTTTTTCCATTACCTTTGGAGTATAGATGTGTCAACCCTGCAGCAGCCCTATGAAGAAGAATACAAGACCACACACAAGAAAGTATATAAACTTGTGAAAGTCTATAGTCCTCATTCCCAGCACATATTATTCTAGTTAAGAAAAGCAAAGGGCTTTGTGCCTCGTTATCATTGTTAGTGAGAGTGATGATCACAAGATGCATATTTTCACAGGAGAATCTGGGGTGAGAGTAGAGTTTTTGGCAGAATTAGAACAGAAACACTGACCCTCACAATGAGATGGAGGGGGAGCAGGGATGTCAGGGTGGGACTACAAAGAGCTGTTGATTGCACCCCAATAAAGAGTAACCACAGCACTGACATCAGACATCCAGGTAGAGCCCTGTTTTGTGTGTAAATATAAAAGCTGGCAGTTTAAGTGTTTAACAGGAGATCAATGACTCTCTGAAACCATTGAACTGAAGCTGGAATGCAAGAGTATCTTCAATAAAGAGACAACTTAAAACTAAAACCAGGGCTAATTTTGGGTGGAGGGGTCTCCTGAAATATTAGTGAACATCATCTGGGATGCCTTTTTCTGGCAGCCACATCAGATTCTGGTATGTCACTGTGTCCTGCTCCGCCACAGAGCTAAGCTGGACTGCATCAGGGCACACTACAGGAAAAACTGGCATTGATTCATTGTTAAGGACAAAAATCTCCTCTGCACACAAAAATGTAACCTATATTCAGACAGGATCTGGCACTGCCATGTCCATCTCAGGAGAGACCTTACTGCTGTTGACAAGTCCCTGAAAGGTTGTAGTCAGAGGGAGTTCAGCCTCTTCTCCCAGTGACAGGATGAGAGAATTCAAGCTGCACCAGGAGAGGTTCAGGTTGGACATCAGGAGGAATTTTTCACAGAAAGAGTTGTTAAGCAGTGGAATGAACTGTCCAGGGCGGCAGAGTCACCATTCCTGAAGGTGTTCAAGAAACCACTTGGCACTACGTGCTAAAGTCTAGTTGATAAGGTTTTGATGGGTCAAAGGCTGGACCCAGTGATCTTAGAGATCTTTTCCAACTGAAATGATTCTGTGAACCCTGGAAGTGTTCAAGGCCAGGTTGGGTAGGGCTCTAAGCAAGCAGGTCTAGTGCAAGGTGTTTCTGCCTATGGCAGGGAGGTTGGAACAGGATCATTGTTAAGGCCCTTTCCAACCCAAACTATTTTGTGATTCTCTGATGAAGGAAATTTCCTTATTTCTCTTCAGAACTACTACTTCAGAGCAGAACAGCACAAACTGCAGTTCTTCAGAATGTATTCTAGGAGCAGGAATTTGCAGAATCATTTTGATGTTTGCTACACATTCAGCAATTAAAAGGTTAATTTTGATTAGATTATAGCATAGGCTACCACTGATGTTAATCAAGTAAAAGAAAGTGGCTGAACCCGGGCACTGATGCAGCACTGATGTACTTACTTTCACAGGCTGTCCTGATGGCTTGTGCTTTTGGCCACAAACACTCCAGCAGAATTTTTGTTTCCTCACAAATCAGCATACATTCAATCCTCAGCTGGTAGCTAAAAAGAGATCAGTGGAAAAAACCCCAACAAACACCACAAAAAACAAATCCCACGGGCCTGATTAATTGACTTGTGTTCAGCAAGAGCATCATCCATTTTAGGCAAAGCGCAGTACCAACATTCTTATGGTCTCCTTAATGCTCTCATATGAGAGCTGGATTATAAATAAATCAAACACAGATATTTCCAAAGATGTCCTAGAAACTATTATCATCTCCACTTTCAGAAAGCAATGCTGGACTGACATCTGGCAGTGGCTACCTTGCATAATGAGGCCATAACTTTTTACAATTCCTGGGCAACACCAGCCAGGATTTTAGTTCTTTCTAACTTCACAAACAAATTTGAAATATTTTGGCAGAGATGTCCTTTAATGACATTTATGCTTCATCACAGATTAATATTGTGAAAGGAAAACATTTTCTAAAGCACTTTTAAATCTAGCTAGAAGTCTAAGAAAATGAAAAGCCCCATTTTCACCACCACATTTTCAAAAAAGTATCTCTGGTTGTGGCATGGCAACTACTCAGATTTATGGACAGCTACTGCTATTAATTATAATATATCACCATCTTTTTGTGAGCAGCAGAAAGAGTTCTCTGTGTGCACCTCATTTGACTTGGTAAAAACTGGGGAGGTGGTGAAAGCACAGGCACTGCTGTGATTCACTCTGGGATTTGTGGGCTCTCCAGTGGGTGAACTGGGATCTGTAGCCCAGGGGTGGAGTGAATCAGCAGCCTGGTGACAGGATTCAGTCTGCAGCTTCACGCCACACAGGAATAGCTGTTCAACAGTCAAGGGTTTTTTCATACCAAGGTTATTTTAACTGTAGTTTGCCAAAGGTGTCTGAAAGTCTCTCTGGCCTTTGGGAAGGAAAAAAATAATTCTTATACAAGGACCACAAATAGCAGTCAGATGATTTATCCTGAAGACTGGATGTCAGGAACATCCCTTTAGCACAAGAAACAGAGGCGTTAATTTTTATGGACAAGTCTTGTAAGAACCACACTCATGGAAAGAGACAAGGAAGATTTTGCTAACCTGGGAACTTCCAAAAGATGGAGATAAAACTGATCTGCATTTGCCAGCTGTGATTTTTCTTTTTTGCAAGATTTCAGGCTATTTATCTAACAGGGAATAAAAGAGCAAAATAACCACACATTTTAATTTAGCAAGGAAAATAACCACACAAACATTTCTGGTGCCATTTTCTTCTTACAGGCATGAAACTTGCTTTTCTGAACTTGCTGTGTGCATAGGCAATGGGAATAAAGCAGATGAACAATAAATTCTACATATGAACTGGTTTGCAAGGGCAAACATGTAGGTTTTATCTTGACTGGAAGGTCCTTTGCCTTTGTACAGCATCTCCTAGGATGAATTCCTGACCTGTAGGCAGAGATTCAGGAAGCTATAATGCACAGATACCCAGAAACCCTTTAAAAAGATGGGTCCTTTCCCTTACTCCTTTTTGAAACTTGCTCTGAAAGGCTCTCAATTCACCTAAGTCTACAAATCCTGTTCTGCTTCATCCACTTAATTAAAATAACAGGATGGAGAGCAGAACTTTGTCTACACCTGTGTAGAGTCTCCCAACATGTTCTTGCTCAACCTTTGTGTGAAGAGGCCAGACTGTTGCTGGTATGGACTTCCCACCACTCTGCCTTGGAATTTCATTGACCTAGATGCAGCAGAAGGATGTGGGATGCAGTAATAGCTTCTTGCTTTAGCAGTGCAGGTGTTTCAGGCTGAGCACACAATACACTGAGCTCCACCAGAATGACACGTTAATAGGTACCTCCTGGTCTTCAGGCAGCAGTTTAAGTAGCTGTCTCAGCACCTCAGCATCCAGCTTGGATCTATCCCCTTTCTGAATCATGGCAGCAATCTCTTCATTGGAGCTGCAAGAAGGAGAGGAATGATGTGGAGCACTGGGGGAGTAACATGGCAAAAAAGACCTCAATCTCTCTGGTGGCACTCCAGGAGCAACTGAAGTAATTCATACTGTGCTTGCCTCCCATTATAGTTTGGATCATAGTCCTCAAAATTACAGTGGAGATATGAAAATACAAAGGTTTTTTTCTTTTAAGCCTAAAGCAATATTCCTTATAATTTAGGTGTGCTTTTTGGCCTTTGTTCATATTTACACAGCAAACCCCAAAGTTCTGCTTTAACTGTGGGCGTCCGGTGTCACTGAGAAGGTATTTACATTTGAATTCCCCCACAATCTGCAGCAAAGACAAGGATAAAACCAACGGCTCACAGAAGGTTTTAGCTCAAATCCTTGCCTGAAATTTTGGCAAGCAACATGTGTTTGAAATGCTTCCAGATTGCTGTGGTTTGGGCTCCGGAGAGCCGGGCTCCCTCGGCCACCAGAGCTGACAGAGGCAGCACCAGGCTCCAGAGCAGCCTCATCCCTCACAAGTGCAGTGGGACTCAGCTCTTTGATCCCAGCTGCTCCCAGGAGAGCTCAGCCACTACCCAGGGATCAAACAGGAAGAGGAAATAGCATCTGCATTAGGCTATGCACCATTCTCCCCCACTGAGAAGCAGTTTGTCATGGAAAGAGAATAATGATAACTAAAAACATCCCTCTGACTCGTTCTGATTTATTCTTAATGAAAAGGGATTTCTTGGCTGAGTTTCCTCTTGAAACCCTTTTAACATGGGCCATGACAAAAAGGGCAGAGGGAGCAGAACATCCATCATCATCCTGCCATAGTTTCAGGGAACCTAAGAGTAAAGATATTTTCCCAAAAACTAGTACAAATTCTTTTCTTCCCCCACCCCTCCAGGAGGGCTGTGACTTGGAAAATTTCCATTTGTTTAATTATTCAAACTGTTTCCTATTTATAGAAAAACTGCATATAAAAACTATGTATGATTTTGGATCTGAACCCCTGGAAATGCCTCTTTAAAAGCTATGAAGTGACTTGAAACTTCCATTCAACAATCTTCACTAACAGTTCCTGCCA